GAGCTAAATATAGTAACTTAAAAATAATGTCCCCATTTAAATTTGTCAAGGCAAGATGCCTTGCATATTTTGTAGGACATGAGAGACTCCATTCCTTTAGTGGCATGGAGGTGACATACCCATTTCTATTTTTAGCCACAGAGTGGTTATGCTGGGTCATTACCTGCTATCTTTATTTTGTTTAAGGATTTGTTCTCTCTCATGCATATCCTATGCACAGATATTGAAGCACCTCTTTGAAAAACAAAACAAATTACCTCTTACTACCATTTACACGGGAATTCAGTCATGTTATCTGTCCACTGTATTTTATAGAAACGAGCGTCTGAATTGAAGAAAGTGGATGGCATAATCTTTTTTTCTTTTTTAGTTCTAAGCATTTCAGAATCTGCTGTTAAAAATTGCAGTAAGTTATTCACTGTCCTCTGTGGAATGAGAAAAGAATTGCCAGACCTTTCTGATTGCTCCTCTCCTACTTGCCTTCCTACTGTGAATTAGGTCGGAAGACATTTCACCACAATTTTCATCAAATGATTTTTGTTTTTTGAATTTTCTTTAAATAAATAGGTGATACACGACCACATTCAGAATTCAAAAGTTAGAAAAATATTTGTAGTGAAGAGTAAATCTTCCATTTCTCCTATATGCAGGTACCTTGTTTTCTCATCAGACGCAATCCAGGGCACCAGCTTCTTGTACCGTTCCAGAGATTTTCTCTGAGTTTATAAATGTGTAGATGTATTTTCCCCACACAGATGACATCATACTATTCACTGTGTTTTTGAACTTGGCTTTTCCATTTAACCATAATCTTAGAAATCATTGCATCTCACATCATGAGCTGCCTCATGGGCTCTAATGTTTTTGTTGTTTCTGCTGAGCAGATCTGTCATAACACATAAACAATTGTCTATGAATGGTATTTAGGCCGTTTTATTCTTTTGCTGCTAAAATCACAGTAGAATGTTAATCTTGTACAGCTGCCATAGGATAGACAGTCTGGCTTAGTGGTCATAAGTGTGGGTTTTGGAGCCCAGTGAAGTGAGTTTATGCTAGTTTCTCCATTTACTATTGAACTATATGATCTTGGCCATTACTTAATCTCTCTGTGCCTCAGTTTCCTCATTTCTAAGATAGTATTTATTTTGTAAGTAGGATGTGATGATTAAAAGCACTAGTCCAAGTAACCGTAATGTGGTTGTTAGGGGGGACCTGATATAGGGGAGAGCATAGTAAACATAGTATTCTTCATGTAAGTGTAGATTAAAAATTAAAAAAAAAAAAAAA